ACAGAAACAAATGCCATTTAATCAAGTTGTATAAATAAATAAAAAGTTTGGATTTCCCATAAGTCCATCTGGTCCCCTGCTTCTCATCACACACACACACACACACACACACACACACACACACACACACACACACACACACACACACACACACACACACACACACACACACTAAGAGAAGCTCTCATCTAAGCACACAGTGTGAAAAGTGGAAGGTTTAAATGAACAGCTGTTTTCCCAGTGGCCCTCAGTGCCAGACGGGCCTATTAGCTCACTTCAGCACTAACTTCAGCTGACACCTCGCCTTAGCTCAGTGACTGGCAGGTCACTTTGTGTTTGTGTTAAAGGCGCAGAGGGTTAGTGACCTGACGGGGGCTCTGCTTTTTTTTTTTTTTTTTTTGATGCGCTGCTGTAAGCGAGCTCATCACCATCATCTTGAGGCTCTGGAGCTACTGGTGCGTTCTGGCTTGGAGCAGATCTCGTCTGCGACACCAAAATTAAAAAAAGAAAAAAAAAGAAAAAAAAAGTGTTTTGTTTGAGCTCCATAATAAAAGTGGTGTGTCATAGCGGAAGGTATTCATCAATTTAAATAACGTGCGACTGTGCTTCAGCACATGAAGGTTTATAAGCATCAAAACATCTCCACCAACCTTGACTTCACCCTTTCAGTCCCGCTTCACTGCATTCAAACTGAACGTGACAGTCGGCGCTGAATGCAACACTTTTTTTCTCCCCCCACTTCTCTTACAAAACCAGCAAACTTCTAATGGTGACATTTACCATCTTGTTTCTCTTCTCTTTCTATTCAGGCTGAAAGCCATTTTCCAGTGTCAAGACAGGCCTCTGCACATTTAGCCTACACGGAACGGGTCGAGTCAAGAGTGAGCCCCTTTTGTTTGCTTTCAGATAGACTCATTTCTATGGCAAACTACACTTGATGGCACTTGACTGTTCAACCTTGGCAATGCTGCCGCCACTTATGAGCGGGTTTACGACTCTGTGGAGGCTCCGCGTGACACGCAGACAGCTGAAAGGCTGCTTGATGCCACCGCTGGCAGTTGTTTTCTGTTTGACAGACACTGTGGGGCTGCAGGAAGCATGATGTTTTCAAGGAGGGACCGTCAAGTGTGTGTAACATCACGAACCACGCACTGGGCCTTGTTTGATCAAAAAAAGAGAGACATTTTACAGATTAAATTGTTCAAAATGAAAATCTATACATGTAAATGGAATGTTAAGAATTCTATAATTGCTACGTGTCTTGTCAGCTGCCGAGTTAAGAACATGTGTAGCAGTTACGGGGTAATCAGTAAGGGCTAACGTGGATGTTAGCCGGTAGGTCAGCGCTTTAAGTATGAGTGGCAAAAACTTAATCTGCATAAATTGTGGCCTTAATCTGCATAAACTTCCACATAAGCAGGGATATATATTTTGTTTAATGCAAAGGGTCATCAGTCAAGGACACGTGAGTGCAGATTTGATCAAAGTGTCCACAAGAGACAGGCGGAGAGGAGGGTCATGGAGCGAGGCTGCACACAGCAGGTCACATTCACCAGGTTTCTGCAACAAGCTGCCCTCAATATCAGTAGGAGTGGCCGTCGCTATTATGCTCAGTCATTAGGAGTGACTGTAATGTGCGAAGCCGAACAACTCGGGCATGACGTGTCGTAAGAGGTGTCAGCACGTTCATCAGAATTTGGATTTCTATAGGTTTCCCATGCAGAGACATGGTCACAAGCAACAGTGGCTGCAGAACAAAAATAATGTTGCTTTTCTGGATTAAAGATTCGGGACCCTCATTGAAATCATGGCATGGCATAATACGGGAATGTATTCCTAATGAATATATTATTTGTTTACTTAACTCTTCACTGCACATTTTCAATTCTACCAGGGATCCTTACTTGAAATATGTTGGGCCTGAGGTGGCCTCTCAATTACTCCAAGGTCTATCATCCTACTGACTAGTTCATTAAGGTTACTATTTCATTCTGTTAATGTCCCTTTATTTGATCTGAGCTACTGTATGTATGTATTTTTTTCTTGTTTTTTGTCTGTATTTCTTGTGTTGTTTTCTGTTGTGTGTTTTTCTTAAATAAAAATAATAATAATGTTTTCACCACAGTGCCCTTTGAATATGGTACAAAAAACTCCTGTTGTGTTCTGGCCTTAGGGGATAAAAGTGTTGGGCTAAGTTCTGAAAGATGCCTGTGTAGATAAAACGTTTCCAAACTGTGTAAAACTAGTAAAGACATCAGCTTAATACACCGTATACCTTTTATGAATGTATTATACATGCTGCAGAACTCTTCATTCACTTGCAAGAACTAGCAACAAAACAGAATTGTCACAAATTCTATTATAATTTATATACAATTAATATCACGGTAGCAAAATAATGACAATCTTTCTGCAGTTTTATTAGACCTCGTGTCAACCAAGTCTCTCAAAAACACTTCAGTGAGCAGTTTCACTCTTTGTTATTGTGTCGAACCCAACTGACAGACAGCCTCCAATCAGATGCACAGCTCTGATGCATGAAACCGGGG